GGGGTGGCTCGTTTTCTGGGGGTGGGAAGGTGACGGGGACGCCTGGACCCGGCTGCGCTCGGGAGACGTGGGACTGGGGGCGCCGAGGGGGCGCGGTGCGGGGGTCCCCGCGAAGTTGGCGCCCGCGCGCGCCGGGGCAGGTCTCGAACACTGGCACTTGCGCGGGGCGCGGCCGGCGACCTGCAGAGGCCCCGAGTTCCAGGTCGCGCGGTTCCGGCCCCTGCGGCCTCCCGCTTCCTTCCTGGGCTCGGGCGGGTCCAGAGAAAAGGGTGAAAGAGAAACTTGGCGAGCTCCCGGAGGAGTTAGCGGAGCGCCCAGGAGCGTGTCCCGGTCCTCTTCACCCGGCACCAGTTCCGCCACGGAGCCGAAGTCCTGGCGGTGATCATGATGGGGTGCTTTTATTTGTTTTCGCTTCGATTTTCGAAAAACGTCGATGTGACTGTCCCTGCCTTAAGGGGAAGTTGAAAGTGGGGGCGGGGGATGCTCAATGAGAAATGTTGCCTGTGTGGGGGGTTACACTTTTCTGGAACACACTGCAGATTATATTGGCATCTCTCTCCAAAAGTCACTTTGATTCGACTTCGATGACTTTCTCGTAAATGGCAGCATTTAGGTGGCGAGAGGCAGGCATCCTTACAACTAATGTGACCTCCAGTGGGATAGACACAACACCAGGAGCCTGTATGAGTTTCGAACCCACGTTTGATATTTTATTGAGCCATACCATTATTCTTCGTCTGTTCTCTCCTTCTCCAGTAGATCTGGCATCTTCATATCCGGGATGAAGCTGTTGTGTAGGATACATTTGGTTGTTTCAGTTTCCTCAGTAAATTTAGGTCCATTCTCCCCGTTTTTTGCCCAGCTTGCTTGCTTGCTTGCTTGCTTGCTTTCTTTCTTTCTTTCTTTCTTTCTTTCTTTTCTTTCTTTCGAGTTGTAAATGCAAATATTTGACAGGGAAGTGTGTTTAACCTCTAGCTAGAAATGGTATATGTAAATTTTTATTCATATTATGTGAGACAAGTAACTTTAATAATACCCTTACAGTGCTCCGGAGAATTAGTTAATGCTCAAGAAGTAGACTTTTGGCACAAAGGCAAAAATTGCATTACATGAAGATTCTGAGGTATAACTTGCCCTCCCCTAGGGCGTGAGACTTCTCTGGCTTTGAAAGAATATTGACCTAAAGACAGACTGTACATGGGCATCAAACCCTGTTTATTTCCTTGGTCTTAGGAAATAAACCAAAAGAAGAATTATTTTAAATCTTAAGTACTACAAATTCTAAATTGAGAGTGTCAATTGATTATCTGTGTATACCAAGTTGCATTCTGGTAGGGATAGTTAGTTATTGGTTAAAAAGAAATTGTCAAGTGGTAAAATGATACTCTTTTTAAGTTACTTGTTACTTAGTCTTATTATTATGATACTGATTTTCATACCATATCTAATGATTTAAAATAATCTTTTAAGTTTTCATAGGAAAGTATCACTGTGCCCTGTAACTGTTAGGTTTTAATGAAACACTCCATCAGTTATTCATAGATGGAGTCCTGGCAAAACACTTTTATAAGTTCATTTAATCAATTACATTTTGTTGGACAGTGCTAGAAATTTTCTAGAGTAAAACCAAGAAGAATTGGAAAGATTTAAAGTTTGAGGTGTACCTGAAAATAAACATTCCTGAAAGTCCTCCACTCAAATGGTAGAAAACACATAATTTGAGTCTTTATGAACTTTTACAGATCTGCTTTGTAAAAGCCACATAATTTAACTTGCAATTGGCATGACACAGATCTTTGTGTTGCACATTTAAGAATTATTTTGTTGGCTAGGCTCGGTGGCTCAGCCTGTAATCCCCGCACTTTGGGAGGCCGAGGCAAGTGAATTGCCTGAGCCTGCGGGTTAGAGACCCACCCAGGCAACTTGGCGAGACCTCATCTCCACAATAAATCAAAAATTAGCCAGGCGTGGGAGCATGCATCTGTAGTTCCAGCTACTAGGTAGGCTGAGGTGGAAGAATCGCCGGAGCTCAGCAGGTCGAAGCTGCGGTGGCCAAGAGCCTGCCACTGCACTCCTGTTTGGGCGACAGTGAGATTCCAACTCAAAAAGAAAAAAAAAATTATTTTGTCATTTCTTCATAGCATATATGTTATATACATGAGAGAACATCTTTTAGTAAACTTTAGAAGCTGTCTTCTTTTTATATATTAACCTGCTTATGAATGTCAAGGTAGGAAAGACTCAAGCTCTATGCCATACTAATATTTCTTTTCTAGGGAGGTTTCTGTAGACAGAGAAATGGAAGTAGCAGATTTTAAGCTATCACAAAACTGATTTGGACTTTGTACTTGTGTGACCTTAGATTTAGTGATTTACACACATTATAAGGTTCCTAGTTTCTTTGAGAATATGAGAGACTAGTTAAGAAAGTTAGTGTGTTTATTTAATGTTTGTCTTCTGAAGATATAAAGAATGATGAGAGAACTATGGCCAGGTGTTGTGATGGCTCACGCCTGTAATCCCAGCACTTTGGGAGGCTAGGTGGGAGATTGCGTGAGCCCAGGAGTTGGAGACCAACCTGGGCAACATAGCGAGACCTAATCTCTACAAAAAAAAAAATTAGCCAGGCATGGTGGCACACACCTATCAGCTACTCAGGAGGCTGAGGCAGAAGGATCACCTGAGCTCAGGAAGTCGAGGCTGTGGTGGTGAGCTGTGATCCTGCTGCTACACTCCAGTCTGGGTGCCAGAGTGAGAACCTGGCCTGGAAAAAATTTTTTAAAAAAAGATGAGAATTAGTGGTATGATTTTTATCCTGGGCCTGTGCAATGATCTAGGCATTTCTATAATGTGCTTTTAGAGCAAGTGTTATCCTGAGGGGGATCTGTGAACCTCTAGGGGTCCATAAATGGGTTTCACAGGATTCCTGAACCCCTTATAGCTGTGAACACAACTGTTTGTGTCTGTGTATTTTTCTGGAAGAGGGTAGATAGTTGTTTTATATAAGAGGTTCAGGACTCAAAAAAATTAGAGACATATCTTTTTATTAAATAAAATGAGTGTTAGAATGATCATTTTTAAGAGAAAAAAATTTTTTAAAGTACATCTTTGTGCTTATTACTTGCGTTTTAAAGTTGTCTTCAGTCTAATTATGAGGTCTTAGAGGTGCAGAAGCACTTTCATTTTCTTCCCACAGCAAAGCATTGCATGACAGTTGGTAAGCCAAGCTGGTCTGATGTGCTAAGTCTGGGCGCATTCTGACTTTTTTTTTTTTGAGTTGGAGTCTCATTCTGTCACCCAAGCTGGAGTGCAGTAGCACACTCATGGCCACCGCAGCCTCAACCAGCTAGGCTCAGGAGATCTTTCTGCCTCAGCCTTCCAAGTAGCTGGAACTATAGGCACGTGCTGTTACACTCGCTTATTTTTTGATTTATTGTAGAGACGAGGTCTGACCAAGTTGCCCAGGGTGGTCTTGAATCCCTGAGCTTAGGCAATCTTCTCATGGCTCGACCTCCGAAAGTGCTGAGATTACAGGCTTGAGCCACCTGTTTTTTAGTTATCTAAACATTCAGACCAGATAGTTTGATGGTGGATAAGGACAGATTTGAGCTTGACACCAGCCCTTGGAGTGTATAGTTCATTCAGCTCCACTGTCTTATTTCTCTTTCAGAAAAACTGAAATTTGACTGGGAGGTAGTCATTCTAAGAAAATGCATTTGTGCCTTGTTAGGACAGTAGAACATGATGGGAAAAACACAGTTTCTGAGTCAAAAAGACTTATGTTCAAATCTGGATTCTTTCATTTACTGTAGCTACCTAATTTGCTTAGGCAGCAGATACCCGCCCTTCTTGCTGTTAGGCTCTTCACAACATATCATTCCTTTAATAAATCTACCTTACTTAATTAAAAAAAAATTTGCTCAACTCTCCAGTTACTCCTCTGGATAATGCCTAACTATTAGAGTTGTTGGAACACTGGCTAGAAGTTTCTTGCATAAAATTCTAAACCACTTTTTGGCCCACAAAGACTTGTAAACCAGATTTGGGCAACCATTAATAAACAACTGAGCAAACATATATACTCATAGTGTATATAATATATATACATATATATAATATATTATTTCTACATATTTGTGTTAAAGTTATTTATACTTAAAACTTTTTTTTTAAATCAGGTTTTAAATGAGGATTAAATGGTCCCTTTAGACATTGGGGGAAAGTAGAAAATGGTGGTGCATTTGGCAAAACAGAGGACACGAATGCTGGGCAGTAAGAAACAATATCATATTTCTGTGGGCAAGAATCATTCAACATTTGCTCTTCACTTATAATTTAAATAAAAAACTAAATTTAAAAACCGCACATGTACTGTCTAGCCCATCATCCTTAAAAATACTTTACCACTCCTTTCTTTTTGGGACCTTCACGGGTCCTGCAGGGGCTTCATGGGTGAAATTTACACCTATGACTTTGGCTGTCTAATTCTGCCATATTTAAAATGCCTCCACAGTTGGCTATCTTTGTCTGTCTTTCTCAGCAGGAAAGAGTCTGGCAGGACTGAATCATATTTTCCTTTAAACATTTAGTCGGAAGAAAGTATGAGATATATTAATAAAATACTTTGTAATGCTTTTAGCCATAAAAATAAACTTGTTTTTACTGTTTC